GACCCTCATCGCCACCTTCCTCCGTATGCCGACAGACTACGCCTTCTGGACCTGCCCTCTCTTAAGGATCGTCGTACCTGCCATGGCGTGATGTTCCTGCATAAATTAATAAATGGATATATTTTTTCCAGTAATCTTCTTAAGCAAATACGCTTTTCAGTTCCTTCTAGGCCATCACGTTACTTCCGGCCTATAGCTTTGGATATTTGTAAAACTAATTTCGAGGCACACGATCCTTTTCGCGTTTTATGTTCGCTTTACAACGACATGTACTCTCTTTTATATTTTGAAATGTCATTAGACTTTAACAAAAATAATATTTTAAGACACCTATCCTTGCCTCTGACCACCTGATGTGAGTCGGAGCATATCATTAAAAAACACTCCTTATCCGGTCTGAGGTAAGGATATGGATTCAAAATGGCAGATATTTGCTATTCTTAATAAATAAATAAATAAATAAATAAAATAAATATATTTCAGCGTCTTTTTCAAGAATAATTGCAACAGAAAAGGTGGTGAGTGTAATGTATAAATTATGTGGATTAGAGGTTAAATTAACCGCTCTGCCTATAGTCCTTGATCAAGACCAGAATTTCCCGGATAGGATAGAATTACTATCCAATCGGGACCAGCGGTGGAAATATTCTCAGCTATTGCCGGCCTGTCTTTGTCCCCGATTTTAATTAACTTATTGGGCACTTTCGAATGGTTTAGTAAAAAAAATGGTGCATCTGAGCCTTGGGAATTTGTAGCATTTGAGGCAAGCTTAGTATCCTCTTCTTCGGAATTTTTCAAGAATAATTGCAACAGAAAAGGTGGTGAGTTGAACTGTGTAAATTATGCGGAACCGATTTCCATGGTTTTGCAAAAAAAAAAAGTTATTCGTTTCCTAACATTTCAATTGGAAACCAGCATTTGTCTTTAAGCTGGTAAGTTGAACTGTGAAAATTTTGTGGATTTGAGGTTAAATTAACCACTTTGCCTATAGTTCAAAATGCCTAGAGCACGACGTTTGAACATCGGTCTCCGCACAAGGCATGCATGCCAGCAACAAGTGTGTTCACAGAACTTAAGCGAGGAGAGACGAAATGTAGTAAGGGAAAATGCCCGATTGAGACAACGCGTGAGCATACGAAGATCAACTGGTGTGCAGCATCTAAGAGGATCCCAACCAGCGTGGCAGGCTCCTAACAGCAACAGTAGCCATCAACCTCAGGACAAATGTCAAGAATCCTGAGATAGAGTGCTAGAAAAGATTCGTTATCCGAAGGTGTCGCGGGTGAGACCGTGCCCCCGGTGTTGCCCATATCCGTTTTGTCTACTGGAGGGTCCCAACAGTTGTCCTCTCAAAGCCCCAGATCCCTACCAGGGTGTCAGGCCCGGACTACCGGCCGAAATTGGTAAGGCAGATAATCAGCCTGCCTTGAAAAAACCCCTTATGGCAATACCACCAACGAGACAGTTTCCTCTTTCAAAATATATGTTCCTGAGGAATTCTTTGACAAACTATGCTCTGTGAAGCAAAGAAAGAGAAAAAAAGGACAGTTGGAATTACTCTTCCTAGGCCCGATTTGACCAATGCGCCTTCAACGTCTTCCAATTCCGTCCCAAAAAACTAACAAGCTTCCTTGGTATCTCCTATCAGAATGCTAGAGGCTTACGCAGTAAGCTTCCTAAATTGTACTATAATAGTGTCACATTTGCTTCCCAAGTGTTGTGTTTACAGAAACCTGGTTAAAGCCGGAGATTCTGAGCTCCGAAGTTTTTAAAGCTCTGTTCACAGTATACCGGCTAGATCGGACTATATTCCTCCATTGTCGGAACTTCCTATTTATTGAAACCATATTTCCGCTATTCAGTTGGTCTCTAAAAGAATTTCGGGTAGGGACCACTTAATTAGTAGTTCTTGGTGATTTTAGCATCCCAGGGGCTATTTGGTTCCTAGATAATTCCATTAACCACAACGCATCACAAAAAATATGGTTTACCAAAGAGCACCTCAATTAAACGGATAATTTGCCGAAGGTGGCGTAACGGAGTTCGCCGGGCTTACTAGTTTAAATATAAATTCTGAAGTGGATTCAGGCATTATTAGCTGAGTTGTGAACTTTTTGTTTACAAATTTACAATTGAGTATGCAAATGTATAAGCCGTGTAAGAACTAATATAAGTACAAATTCTGCCGTGGATACATGCATTATTAGCGGAGTTGTGAACTTTTTGTTTACAAATTTACAATTGAGTATGCAAATGTATTAGCATTGTAAGAACTAATTCAAATATAAATTCTGCCGAGGATATATGCATTATTATCTGAGTTGTGAACTTTTTGTTTACAAATTTACAATTGAGTATGCAAATGTATTAGCCATGTAAAAACTAATATAAATACAAATTCTGAAGTGGATACATGCATTATTAGCTGAGTTGTGAACTTTTTGTTTACAAATTTACAATTGAGTATGCAAATGTATTAGACGTGTAAAAACTAATATAAATATAAGTTCTGAAGTGGATTCAGGCATTATTAGCTGAGTTGTGAACTTTTTGTTTACAAATTTACAATTGAGTATGCAAATGTATTAGACGTGTAAAAACTAATATAAATATAAATTCTGAAGTGGATTCAGGATTCATTTACACATTTACGATTGAGTATGCAAATGTATAAGCCGTGTAAAAACTAATATAAGTACAAATTCTGCCGTGGATACAAGCATTATTAGCTGAGTTGTGAACTTTTTGTTTACAAATTTACAATTGAGTATGCAAATGTATTAGCATTGTAAGAACTAATTTAAATATAAATTCTGCCGTGGATATATGCATTATTAGCTGAGATGTGAACTTTTTGTTTACAAATTTACAATTGAGTATGCAAATGTATTAGCATTCTAAGAACTAATTTAAATATAAATTCTAAAGTGGATATATGCATTATTATCTGAGTTGTGAACTTTTTGTTTACAAATTTACAATTGAGTATGCAAATGTATTAGCATTGTAAGAACTAATTTAAATATAAATTCTGCCGTGGATACATGCATTATTAGCTAAGATGTGAACTTTTTGTTTACAAATTTACAATTGAGTATGCAAATGTATTAGACGTGTAAAAACTAATCTATTATATAAAAATAAGTCGAGTTTTCTGCGCGGAGCAAATAACTCCAGAACGCACGAACCGATTTCCACGGTTTTGCATTCGTTGGAAAGGTCTCGGAATTTGTGATTTTTTGCAGTAAAGAAAATTCAGGAAAAATTGCAACAGAAAGCGGGAAAATCATTTTTGCATAAAGCGCCAACACTGACACATAGCATGCCATAATTCTCCACTCAGTTTATTTTATGACAAATCGAAATTGTGTTCAATTTTGAGTAAAATAAGTTATTCGTTTCATATCAGTGCAATTGGAAACCAGCATTTGTATTTAGGGTGGTAAGTTGAACTATTAAATGCAACCAACATAAGTCTGCAACATTGTTTGGCTGCAAGACAAAAGCAACATCAAATACTTAGAATTAAATGTTGCGGAGATCCTCGGATACCTAGAATTAAATGTTGCGGAGATCCTCAAATACCTAGAATTAAGTGTTGCGAAGATCAACTATAAAAGGGACACATTGAAATGTATTTAGTTCAGTTCGCGTAAAACAACCTTTGTGAATAGTAGATGTGCTGTGCCAAATGAAAGAAAAGACTCATTAAATATAATTATAAACTATAAGTGCATATGTGTTGTTAATAAGGAGGGTGGTTTTTGCCAACAGGTTATGGGCCCAGCTCCCTCTGCAATTTAAATTGGTTAAAACAAATTGTTTAAACAAATTCATAAACCTAAAAAAAAAAAAAGAATGAAAATTTAAACCTTATTGTGTGACTAAGTAAAGTGCTTAGAACAAAGTATTAAATAAAATATTGAAAAGCGAAATATAAGAAAAATCAAACAAAGTTAATAGTGAAATAATTTCAATTTGATTTTGATGAAGTATTAATAATTAAAATTCAAATTATGAAATGTATGTACATATGTATGTACTAGTGATTTCAAATATTAAGACATATTGTGAAATAGGCTTTATGTAAAGGATTCTGAGAAACAGACAGCAGCGTTTAACCAGAAATACGGGACCAATCTGATGCGAAATTTTTCTTAAGAATTTTGGAAAGACATTTTTTTAAAGATAAATTTGAGGGTAACTTTTCACAAGAAAATTTTTTTTCGAACTAAGTTCAGAGGTTTCTAATTCCTTTTAATTTTGTCAATTCTGGAAAATGGAAAAGTCAAAGAGAAATATAAAGCCGTTTGACGGCGATAGGTATTCCGTTTGGAAATTCAGAGTAAGGGCTCTTTTATCCGAAAACGATTCTTTAAAAGTAATTGATAAAGATCCTCCTGAAAAAAATGACTGATGAGTGGAAGAAAGCAGAAAATACTGCTAAAAGTATAATCATTGAGTTCCTAAGTGATTCATTTCTTGGGTTCGCAAATGATGAAAGCTCAGCAAAAACGATTTTTACCAATCTGGACGCCATTTATGAGCGAAAGAGTCTGGCATCTCAGCTTTCTATCAGAAAGCAATTACTGTCATTAAAATTAAAAGGAGAGGTCACACTTGCAAATCATTTTGTTACTTTTGACGAGTTAATTAGTGAGTTAGTAGCATCAGGGGCAGAGATGGATGAGATGGACAAAGTGTCACATCTTCTATTGACAATGCCAGCCGCCTACGATGGGGTGATAACAGCTATAGAGACTCTATCAGAAGCAAAAATAACTTTGGCATTTGTAAAGACACGTTTGCTAGATCAGGAAATAAAACTTAAAGGTATAAGTAAAGACACAAGTCTTAAATCATTGCAAGCTGTGGGAAATTATAATAAAAAGGAACAAACAAAATTTAATAATTTCAAAAATAAATCAAAATTCAAACCAAACAAAAATAATTTTAAATCAAAATATACATGCCATCATTGCGGTAAAAAGGACACTTTAAAAAGGATTGTTACCATTTTAAAAGGCTAAATAAAAACAATAAAGAAAACGAAAGTGGAAAACAGGCTCAAGTGGCCACAGTTGAAAAAGGTTTCGCATTTATGTTGAATCGTGCTATAATTAAAAACAAAAGTGATGTTTCATTTATTTTGGACTCGGGCGCGTCAGACCATATGATAAATGATAAAGAACTGTTTGCTGACTACATAAGTTTAAAAACACCAATTGAAATATCAGTGGCAAAGTGTGGTGAATTTATTTATGCTACGGCAAAAGGCATAATGAAACTTAAAAATGAGTTCCAGAAAAACATTACTTTGGAAGACGTACTTTATTGCAAAGATATTCCACATAATTTAATCTCTGTTAAAAGAATGCAAGAGGCTGGAATGGTTATTGAATTCAACGCAGGAGGTGTCACGGTTACAAAGAACGGTAACATAATTATTAAAAACTCCTGTAAGTACAATGTGCCAACTATGGAATTTAAAATATGTTATAAAGCACATACATTAAACAATAATCATTTTAAACAGTATCAGTTGTGGCATGAGAGGTCAGGACACGTTAGCAAGGGAAAATTTTTAGAACTCATACGATATAATATGTTTGAAGATACTGAAGTGTTAAAGAATGTCCATCCAAATGAAGATATATGTGAAGCATGTGTTAAAGGCAAACAATCAAGATTGCCATTTGAAAAATTCAAAGATAAAAGTTACATTAAAAGACCATTATATATTGTGCATTCTGATGTTTGTGGCCCTATTAGCCCTCCTACTATCGATGGGAAAAATTATTTCGTTGTTTTTGTCAATCAGTTTACACACTATTGTGTTACCTATTTAATAAAATATAAATCCGAAGTATTTTCCGTTTTCAAAGACTTCATTTCGAAAAGTGAAGCCCATTTCAATTTGAAGGTTGTCAATTTGTATATAGACAATGGGCGGGAATATTTGTCAAACGAAATGAGAGAATACTGTGTGGAGAGAGGAATTACTTATCATCTTACAGTGCCACATACACCCCAATTGAACGGGGTATCTGAACGTATGATAAGGACTTTAACAGAAAAGGCTAGATCCATGATACATGGCGCAAATTTAAGTAAAAGTTTCTGGGGTGAAGCTGTCTTAACAGCAACTTATTTAATTAACAGAAGCTCAAGCAAAGCATTGAAAGACATAACAAAGACTCCCTATGAATTATGGCATGAAAGAAAGCCATGTCTAAAATACCTGAAGGTATTTGGTGCAACGGTATACATACACAACAAAATCCGAAAACGAAAGTTTGATGAAAAATCAAAAACGGGTATACACGTTGGGTATGAACAGAATGGGTTAAAAATTTGGGATGTTGAGTCTAGAAAATTTATTGTGGCAAGAGATGTAATTGTCGATGAGACAAATATGAAAAATTCTAGGACTGTGGAACAAAATTTTAATTTTGTGGAAGAGTGCACTGAAAGTGATCAGCTTGATATCCTCAAAGAAATGGAGGATGGTATAGATGTGAGTAAACACATGGAAAGTGATCAACAATGTATCCTAAATAAAAGTAAGGAAAGTGCAGAAGAAAATTTCCGGAATGAAAGTACGGAGGAAAAATCTAAAATGCAAATTTTAGATATACAGCCTAGTTGTGAAACATCTCTAGAAGAAGAGGCTATAAGTGTTGAGCACCAATTGCCTGATTCACCCCAGAAAGAAAAAGAAACTGAAATAAGGCGAAGTGAGAGATTGAAAGGTAAACCACAAACATCTTATAGATTTCTCAATAATTGTTTAATGAATGCACATGCTTTTGCGAATGATACTCCAAACTCCTTTGAAGATATAAATAACAGAAGTGATAGAGTGGAGTGGGAAAAAGCAATTCGTGAAGAGTTAGATTCTCATACTTATAATAACACATGGAGTATTGTTGAAAAGCCAAAGGATAAAAACATTGTAGACTGTAAATGGGTTTTTACCATTAAACATAACGAACTTGGTGAGAATATTAGATACAAAGCAAGACTAGTAGCAAGAGGCTTCACACAACAGCATTTGATTGATTACGATGAAACATTCGCACCTGTAGCGAGAATTTCCAGTTTTAGATTTATTCTATCACTTTCAAACCAATTTGACTTAAAGGTTCACCATATGGATGTGAAAACAGCATTCTTGAATGGCCTGCTTAAAGAAGATATATATATGAAAATTCCTCAAGGACTACCTTTCGAAAATGATAAAGTCTGTAAATTGAACAAAGCTTTATATGGCCTTAAACAAGCTGCAAGATGCTGGTTTGAGGTATTTGAGAATGTTTTAAAAGAAATTGGTTTTGAAAACTCCGCTGTGGATCGTTGTATCTATATATTAGATAAAGGATGTATCTCTAAAAATATATACCTGCTCTTATATGTTGATGATTTAGTAATAGCTACTGAAAACATTGACACCATGACTAAACTAAAATCATATCTCATGACAAAATTTAGAATGACTGACTTACTTGAAATTCGTTATTTTATAGGAATAAAAATAGAAAGAAAATCAAACAAGTTCGAGCTCAGCCAGACGCCTTATATTAAAAATATTTTAAAGAAATTTAACATGGAAGAATGTAATCCAGTAAGCACTTCACTACCAAGTAAAATAAATTTTGCGGCCTTAAGCTCAAAAGAAAGTTATGATGCACCATGTCGAAATTTAATAGGCTGCTTGATGTATGTAATGTTGTGTACAAGACCGGATTTGTGTGCATCAATTAGTATATTAAGTAGATATACTAATAATAATAATATTGAATTATGGACATGTTTAAAAAGAGTTCTTAGGTATTTGAAAGGAACAGCTGATCTTAAATTAACTTTTGTTAAGAACTCTAATTTCAAAAATATTATTACAGGATATGTTGATTCTGACTGGGCGGGTAGTGAGTGCGATAGAAAAAGTACAACCGGTTACATATTTAAATTATTTGAATCATATGTTATTTCATGGAATACTAAGAAGCAGAACTCGGTGGCTGCCTCATCAACTGAAGCCGAGTACATGGCTCTATTCGAAGCAGTTAGAGAATCTTTGTGGATTAAGTCTTTAATGAAAAGTATTAAATTTGAAATTAATGAAGCGATAAAACTTTACGAAGATAATCAGGGATGCATTAGCATTGCAAACAACCCCTCATGTCACAAACGATCAAAGCATATTGATATTAAATACCATTTTTCTCGGGAACAGATTGAAAATAAGCTAATTGTTCTTGAGTATATTTCCACAGACAACCAACTAGCTGATATTCTTACAAAAACTTTACCTGCAGCCAGATTCCTCAAGCTAAGAAGCAGAATGGGTCTTACTGATGACGATGAACAACAAACCTAAACCAAAAAGGATGAACACTCCTATCTACTATGAAATATCTTCTTATTTTGCGTTTTTTTTTATTAAATTTTTGAACTTAAATTTATTTTAATTTATCTACATATATATTTGCTTGGTTTGATTGGGTTTTTCTGGGTTTTCCCCAATCCATGCAACAAATGTTGAACCAAGATATTGTATGCACCCCAGAAGGCACAGCATGTCTTATAAGTTTTTTTTTTGTACTGAATTGTTTTTTTTTAGTTTATTTAATGTTGTTTTTGAGGAGGTGTATTAAATGCAACCAACATAAGTCTGCAACATTGTTTGGCTGCAAGACAAAAGCAACATCAAATACTTAGAATTAAATGTTGCGGAGATCCTCGGATACCTAGAATTAAATGTTGCGGAGATCCTCAAATACCTAGAATTAAGTGTTGCGAAGATCAACTATAAAAGGGACACATTGAAATGTATTTAGTTCAGTTCGCGTAAAACAACCTTTGTGAATAGTAGATGTGCTGTGCCAAATGAAAGAAAAGACTCATTAAATATAATTATAAACTATAAGTGCATATGTGTTGTTAATAAGGAGGGTGGTTTTTGCCAACATGAACTGTGTAAATTATGTGGATTAACCGCTCTGCCTATAGTTCAAAATGCCTAGAGCACGACGTGTGAACATCTTTCTCCGCAGAAGGCATGCAATCCAGCAACAAGGGTATTCACAGAACTTAAGCGAGGAAAGACGAAATCCAAGAAGAGAATATGACCGATTAAGACGACGCGTGAGCACACGAAGATCATTGGCATCATACAATCGCTTGGCATTTCAATATGATCCTTCTGCGAACTACAGAGATGATAGAAAATTAGATATTGGACCTACATATGACGACTATATGCCGATATTGCAATGCGTTAAAGTTTAAAAGAGAAACTGCTGGATTGTGCTGCGCAAGTGGAAAAGTCAAACTGGATCCATTACTTACACCACCACAGCCAATAAAAGCATTGTTCGATGGAAGTGATCCAGATTCCAGCCATTTTCTTCAACACATCCTTGAATACAATAACTGCTTTCGCATGACTTCCTTTGGAGCTAATATCATTCGAGAAGGCGGCTTCATGCCGACTTGCAAGGTAAAAGTTACAATCACTTACACAAAACACAAAGAATTGCAACATAATAACAACATATACTCTACGGACTACACCATCACACGATTCTTCAACAAATGATTGTTTGCAATTACAGATACTAGGACAAATATATCATTTGCATGGTTCATTGGTGCCAACAACAGAGGAACCGCATCAATTTCTGCAAATATATTTCATTTCGTCGATGGTGGATCAGCTGAATGTGCGGTGCAACATTCAGGGAACACCACGCATGAACCGATTTCCACGGTTTTGCATTCGTTGGAAAGGTCTTGGAATTCGTTATATAAGCAGTAAAGAAAATTCAGGAAAAATTGCAACAGAAAATCGGGAAAGTCGTTTTTGCATAAAGGCCATCACTGATACATAGCATGCCGTAATTCTCTACTCAGTTTATTTTATGAAACAAAACAAAACAAAACTAATTTTGTGAAATTGTGAAGAATCAGTAAAAAAAATAAGTTATTCATTCTCAGCTATTGCCGGACTGTCTTCGTCCCCGATTTTAATAAATTTAATATTGGGCACTTTCGAATGGCTTACTAATACAAATTGTGCATCTGAGCCTTGGGAATTTGGTGCTTTTCAGGGAAGCTTAGTGTCCTCTTCTTCTTCCTCATATATTTCAGCGTCTTTTTCAAGAATAATTGCAACAGAAAAGGTGGTGAGTGTAATGTATAAATTATGTGGATTAGAGGTTAAATTAACCGCTCTGCCTATAGTCCTTGATCAAGACCAGAATTTCCCGGATAGGATAGAATTACTATCCAATCGGGACCAGCGGTGGAAATATTCTCAGCTATTGCCGGCCTGTCTTTGTCACCGATTTTAATTAACTTATTGGGCACTTTCGAATGGTTTAGTAAAACAAATGGTGCATCTGAGCCTTGGGAATTTGTAGCATTTGAGGCAAGCTTAGTGTCCTCTTCTTCGGAATTTTTCAAGAATAATTGCAACAGAAAAGGTGGTAAGTTGAACTGTGTAAATTATGCGGATTTGAGGTTAAATTAACCACTCTGCCTATAGACCCAGATCATATACATAACTCCAGAATGCACCAACCGACTTTCACGGTTTTGCAAAAAAAAAAAAGTTATTCATTTCCTAACATTTCAATTGGAAACCAGCTTTTGTCTTTAAGGTGGTAAGTTGGACTGTGTAAATTATGTGAAATTGAGGTTAAATTAACCACTTTGCCTATAGTTAAAAATGCCTAGAGCACGACGTTTGAACATCGGTCTCCGCACAAGGCATGCAAGCCAGCAACAAGTGTATTCACAGAACTTAAGCGAGGAGAGACGAAATGTAGTAAGGGAAAATGCCCGATTGAGACAACGCGTGGGCACACGAAGATCAACTGGTGTGCGGCATCTAAGAGGATCCCAACCAGCGTGGCAGGCTCTTAACAGCAGCCTTCCTCGACATAGCCATCGACCTCAGGACAAATTTCAAGAATCCTGAGATAGAGTGCTAGAAAAGATTCGTTATCCGAAGGTGTCGCGGGTGAGACCGTGCCCCGGTGTTGCCCATATCCGTTTTGTCCACTGGAGGGTCCCAACAGTTGTCCTCTCAGAGCCCCAGTTCCCTACCAGGGTGTCAGGCCCGGACTACCGGTCGAAATTGGTAAGGCGGATAATTAGCTTACCTTGAAAAAACCCCTTATGGCAATACCACCAACGAGACAGTTTCATCTTTCCTCCATTGTGAGAACTTCCTATTTATTGAAACCATCTTTCCGCTATTCAGTTGGTCTCTAAAAGACTTTCAGATAGGGACCACTTAGTTTGTAGTTCTTGGTGATTTTAACATCCCAGGGGCTATTTGGTCCCTAGATAATTCAATTAACCACAATACATCACAAAAAATGTGGTTTACCAAAGAACACTTCAATTAAACGGATAATTTGCCGAAGGTGGCGTAACGGAGTTCGCCTGGCTTACTAGTTTAAATATAAATTCTAAAGTGGATATATGCATTATTATCTGAGTTGTGAACTTTTTGTTTACAAATTTACAATTGAGTATGCAAATGTATTAGACGTGTAAAAACTAATATAAATATAAATTCTGAAGTGGATTCAGGCATTATTAGCTGAGTTGTGAACTTTTTGTTTACAAATTTACAATTGAGTATGCAAATGTATTAGACGTGTAAAAACTAATATAAATATAAATTCTGAAGTGGATTCAGGCATTATTAGCTGAGTTGTGAACTTTTTGTTTACAAATTTACAATTGAGTATGCAAATGTATAAGCCGTGTAAAAACTAATATAAGTACAAATTCTGCCGTCGATACATGCATTATTAGTTGAGTTGTGAACTTTTTGTTTACAAATTTACAATTGAGTATGCAAATGTATTAGCATTGTAAGAACTAATTTAAATATAAATTCTGCCGTGGAGACATGCATTATTAGCTGAGATGTGAACTTTTTGTTTACAAAAAACAAAAAAAAAAAATTACAAATTTACAATTAAGTGTGCAAATGTATTAGCCTTCTAAAAACTAATATAAGTACAAATTCTGCCGTGGATACATGCATTATTAGCGGAGTTGTGAACTTTTAGTTTACAAATTTACAATTGAGTATGCAAAATTAGCATTGTAAGAACTAATTTAAATATAAATTCTGCCGTGGATACATGCATTATAGCTGAGATGTGAACTTTTTGTTTACAAATTTGCAATTGAGTATGCAAATGTATTAGCAGTGTAAAAACTAATATAAATACAAATTCTGAAGTGGATTCAGACATTATTAGCTGAGTTGTGAACTTTTTGTTTTCAAATTTACAATTGAGTATGCAAATGTATTAGCCGTGTAAAACTAGTATAAATACATATTCTGAAGTGGATACAGACATTATTAGCGGAGTTGTGAACTTTTTGTTTACAAATTTACAATTGAGTATGCAAATGTATTAGCCTTCTAAAAACTAATATAAGTACAAATTCGGCCGTGGATACATGCATTATTAGCGGAGTTGTGAACTTTTTGTTTACAAATTTACAATTGAGTATGCAAATGTATTAGCATTGTAAGAACTAATTTAAATATAAATTCTGCCGTGGATATATGCATTATTATCAGAGTTGTGAACTTTTTGTTTACAAATTTACAATTGAGTATGCAAATGTATTAGCATTGTAAGAACTAATTTAAATATAAATTCTAAAGTGGATATATGCATTATTATCTGAGTTGTGAACTTTTTGTTTACAAATTTACAATTGAGTATGCAAATGTATTAGACGTGTAAAAACTAATCTATTATATAAAAATAAGTCGAGTTTTCTGCGCGGAGCAAATAACTCCAGAACGCACGAACCGATTTCCACGGTTTTGCATTCGTTGGAAAGGTCTCGGAATTTGTGATTTTTTGCAGTAAAGAAAATTCAGGAAAAATTGCAACAGAAAGCGGGAAAATCATTTTTGTATAAAGCGCCAACACTGACACATAGCATGCCATAATTCTCCACTCAGTTTATTTTATGACAAATCGAAATTGTGTTCAATTTTGAGTAAAATAAGTTATTCGTTTCATATCAGTGCAATTGGAAACCAGCATTTGTATTTAGGGTGGTAAGTTGAACTGTGTAAATTATGTGGATTAACCGCTCTGCCTATAGTTCAAAATGCCTAGAGCACGACGTGTGAACATCTTTCTCCGCAGAAGGCATGCAATCCAGCAACAAGGGTATTCACAGAACTTAAGCGAGGAAAGACGAAATCCAAGAAGAGAATATGACCGATTAAGACGACGCGTGAGCACACGAAGATCATTGGCATCATACAATCGCTTGGCATTTCAATATGATCCTTCTGCGAACTACAGAGATGATAGAAAATTAGATATTGGACCTACATATGACGACTATATGCCGATATTGCAATGCGTTAAAGTTTAAAAGAGAAACTGCTGGATTGTGCTGCGCAAGTGGAAAAGTCAAACTGGATCCATTACTTACACCACCACAGCCAATAAAAGCATTGTTCGATGGAAGTGATCCAGATTCCAGCCATTTTCTTCAACACATCCTAGAATACAATAACTGCTTTCGCATGACTTCCTTTGGAGCTAATATCATTCGAGAAGGCGGCTTCATGCCGACTTGCAAGGTAAAAGTTAAAATCACTTACACAAAACACAAAGAATTGCAACATAATAACAACATATACTCTACGGACTACACCATCACACGATTTTTCAACAAATGATTGTTTGCAATTACAGATACAAGGACAAATATATCATTTGCATGGTTCATTGGTGCCAACAACAGAGGAACCGCATCAATTTCTGCAAATATATTTCATTTCGTCGATGGTGGATCAGCTGAATGTGCGGTGCAACATTCAGGAAACACCACGCATGAACCGATTTCTACGGTTTTGCATTCGTT